TCCTCGCCTTCTGGGTGTAGGGCAGAGCGAAGCATTGTGAGTCACTTCGGGGCTCAGGTGCTTCAAAGCAACTGTGTTGGAAAATAATCCGGAGGAGGTAGTTGTTAGAGGAAAGTAACGGCTTAATAAATGACTCGGGTATGACTGGCACCTGAAGCAATTGCAGTCTTTGAGCATATGTCATAGGGAAAACGTTGTTATCAAATTATAAACCAGAAGGTAATTGAACTCCAAAGTCCTGAATAATCAGGTGTATGTTATGCTTAACCTGCATGTACCACTGTTAAATCCATGAAACAGATGCTTCCTTTTAGGCAAGGATATCTGTAGGATTGAGAATTGGAAACTGAACTGCTTTAACAATATAAATTGATTGATCTGTTGTATTTAGTTTAAACAGAAATCCCGTTAAAAAAACCAAAAGTGTACAACTTTGTGTCTTGATTGTGTTTTGGCAGTCACCCCTGGGAAACGGTGACAAAGGCTGCCATGCAGAAGTACCCAAATCCCATGAACCCAAGCGTGGTTGGAGTCGATGTCCTGGACAGACACATAGACCCTAGTGGGAAGTTGCACAGCCACAGGCTCCTCAGCACAGAATGGGGAATCCCCTCCATTGTGAAATCGGTATGTATTGCATCAACGAGCTTGAAAAGGGTGCCAGAGGGAGGGCAAGCTTGTAAACCAGGTGTGGTAATAGACATGTGTCCTTTCACAACTTTAATGGTGTAAAATTACAAGCGTTTATATATTGGGAAAGCTCAGCAGCAGGACACAGAGTGACTTCCTGATAGCCAGAAATTCCCTAGATCTTAGATAGCTTCCATCTTGAAAATGAGATCTAACTCAACTGAATAGTTTTATTTTAAGCCAAACTCTAATTCTGTTGTCTCGGTGTCTGTTCAGTACAATAACTATGGGTTATGCATTTAAAGGCACTAAAAGGTTGCAGTTGGTTAGAATAATTAATTCCGTATTTGTTTGCCTGTCTTCTAGCTCATCGGCACATGCAGAACAAAGACATATGTTCAGGAGCACTCTGTTGTTGATCCAGTGAAAAAAACAATGGAGCTTAGATCCAGTAATGTAAGTAGCTGTGGTTTGTGCAACTGAAATAGGTTACAGCGTATAGTAATATTTTGTCTGTTTGAAAAGGAAAATCACTTGCAGATTGCGTTAGAACAATACAAGTTCAATGTTAGAGTAACGTGCTTATAGTCAACTGGTTCCGTTTTTCAGAAAGGAGATACCAGGTTTTTGGAACTCATCGGGACCAAAGCATCTGAACATACCGATGGACAGGACAGGAGTAGTTTTGGGGCAAGGGGATTGTTAAGAAAAAAATTTAAAACAAACTTGGTGTACACTGACACCATTTCCTAATCACGTAACGTTTTGCTCTTTGTACTGCTCCATCTGTCTGGTCCCACTGTTGACAGGTTCTTGGAAACTTGGCGGTGCATATTGGTAAATGAACCGAAAACTTAAGGAAAGAGAACTAGATCAGCAAATGCTGAACTTGGAGATCTTTCTGTCTTGTTCTACAGCCCTGATACTTGTGGGAAAAGTGTAATTTTTAAATCAGATTCAAACCTAATGCTTATATTTACTACAATCCTTTAGTATATTTATCAAGGTGTAATGCTTCTCTTCTACAGATTTCGTTTACAAACTTAGTGTCGGTAGATGAGAGGCTTGTCTATAAACCACACCCTCACAAACCAGACAAGTAAGTACCTCTTTGTATTGAGATTGCCCTACAGTACTACAGACTTTGGCTTTGGAATTTCCATGTTTTCCCTTGCATTAAAGACGAGGTTTACATCGCCTCTGTTTTATGGTAACTTGTCTAAAAAAGAGTTAAAAGGACTCTCATTTTCTCTAGTGACATTGCTTCTGCTGAGCGCTACTGGGAAGCTTAATGTCATGCTGTGACGGAGTCCAGATCAGCTTTTCAGGGAGTTGTCCCGTGTCCTACCCGTAACTGAGTTTTTACACGTTTTCAGTTATCACCTCCTTAGTTTTGGTCTCTTCATCAGCCTAGAAGGCACATTTCTCTGCCTTTAGTCTATAATTTTGGAGATTTGGGATTTGTGGGGTTTGTTTAAGGCAAGTTTAGAACTTGTACTGCTGGAACTAGTGATAATTCTGAAGGCTCTTTCTAGGAATTCAAACATAAGAGGGGTTTTCTTTCATGACAGTCGCAAATGTTAAATCCCTGTTGACAAAGGGCACGTGTTAATACGGTTTTGCCTGTGTACCTTCATTCCAAATCTGCTGCTTCCACTCTTAACTTCCTGCTGCTAAAGATAGAAATAATTGAGTGCCATAAAGGGACACTTGGACTTCGTGCAGACTTGGTATTTTTATTTTATGAGCAGAAGCATGAAGCAGTTAAACACCGTGGAAGTGAGTTGTGTTTATGGGCAAGTAGTTCTGTGTCACACAACAGAGTTGATGGGAGAATGTACTTGTTGGGGAGGAGCGAGTTTCTTTCAGCGACACATTCTTTTAGACTATTCAGAATAATTCATTTTCCTGCTCTCTGTTTCAGAACCATTTTGACACAAGAAGCAATAATATCTGTAAAAGGTGTCAGTCTTAGCAGTTACCTAGAAGGGCTAATGGCAAACACAATTTCTTCCAATGCTAATAAAGTAAGTATGACCTTTGTGTAGAATGTGTGACCACTAGCTAAATGACAAAGGGAATAAAAAAAAAATCTGTTTTTGTCTTTGTCAGCAATCGTAGGAAGGGTCTGCATAGTTCTACTGCATTTGCTATAGAGACTGAATGCTCAGCTTGCTAAACTTCCTTTTTTTTTTTCTCTTATGAACGGAGATAATAAATTATTATTGGCAAAGCTTTCTGTACCTTCACTGCAGAAAACATCTCCACTCACTTAACAGTCTGGCAGTGTCACTCTTCTGCTGCTCTCTTGATGCATCTATTAATTTTTTGTATTGAGAAAGGATACACACCCAGACAGACTTGAAGTAGCGATGTGGGAGGTGGTGTTTTAGTTGAGTCTGTCCTCTGGGAATCCAGAGATGTCTTGAGCTCAGCCTCGAGAATGGTAAAACGATCTGGAGAAAAAGTCTTTCGTGGTTCATAACGTGAGCGCTGCTGACATAAAGAATTGTTTCATGAAATGTAAGGCAGTACATAAATACCTGCCTCTAGGTCTTCCTGCAGTACTTTGGTTACTGAAGTAAAAAAATAACAGAGGCAGGTATTTCTGTACCTTTTCTTCCTTTTTCAACTGTTGTGTCTTTACTAATTTTTAGTAAGATAGAATTTAACTTAGTAAATAAGATTTTTATGCTGATTTATACACTTTTCTGTAACTGCAGGGCCGTGAAGCATTGGAATGGGTAATTAACAGACTGAACGCTGAAATTGAAGAGTTCGCAGCTTCAGCTAGAGGAACCATGAGGAATTCAATGGCAGCAGCAGCATTTGTAGAGAAATGATAGTAAATGTACCTGTATTACTAATAAGGTTTAACTATTTAAAGCTTTTCTCTAAACCTAACTACAGGTCTCCTTTGTTATTTAAAGGCATACCTGTGTATTGGGCATGGTTCAAATTTAATTTGGAGAAAAGCTGAATTCTTACTAATGAGGCTGACGTGCAAAGCCCAGTTCATATATTGGTTCAGCTGGACCGAATTTCGGTTACAAATGAAGAAAAAATTTTCAAGGCTAGTTCCTGTACGTACACTAACTTATAATGTTTGCAGACGTGAACTAGCCTCATTTACCGATGAGGCTGCATGTGGTGGAGGAGACTGGCATGTTGGGTTAACTTAGGTGGAATTTTTATTTCTGTGTGACTGAATGGACTACCTCTTCTGGGACCAAGCCCAAAATTGAGCAGAATGGTTTGTTCCAGCGTTGTTCCGTTTGTTAATTTTTGACGATTGTGTGATACAACTTGGTTTAATAGAAAGTGTATTACTTGATGCTTGAAGTATAAAAGAATATACAAAGTACTTTTTATAAGCTTTTTAACTTGTTTGACTGGTTGAGCTAACACGGTACTCAAATGGGTTTTCAGTCAACACAGGTAAACCACACAAAGTGGCCTTTACTTACCAAGACCTAAATTCTACTCCTAAATTCAACATTATTGAGCTAGGTGTGCAGGAACTTAGAGAAATTTAAAATAAAATTTTAAGTATCTCACTTTCTAAAAGCCCATTAACTAAAGGGGTACAATAAGTATAGAGCCTTAAAATCTTGCAAGCTGCTAGGGCATCTAAGAGTAGTAGGCCTCCACATCCAAATGTCAGAAGAACCACTTAAAGGACAAAAAAAACTTTGCAAAGCTGGCTAGAGAAATACCTAAGCATAAGAGGAAGTAATAGTAAAGAATGTAAATGATATATTCACTAACTGGATCAGGATCCAGAAATGACCTATTAGATCAACTAAATGCTGGGTTGTCCTTTAATTTCAACAGAGTTCCAGAAGTTCCTTTACCATTTGAACTAATCACCTCACAAGACAAGGATCTTCAAATTGAAACCTTGAGAATAAAAAGTTTTCTACAGTTCCTGTTTGTTTCTTGGTACTCGCTGTAGATTTTTGGTACTGTCACCACCCGTTAGCTGCGGGAGCTGAAAGGTCAGGCCTCGACAAGCTCCCTTACATGGTGTCCCCGCGCGCTGGCAGTCCTGTCGACGTGAGCACGAGCTCTCTGCCCTACTGGGCTCCTTCAGCGTGAAGGAAAAATGGAAATACACAGCCCGGAATTACCTGGTGCTTGTGTTTTGCTGCCAAAGGCTGTTCCTGGAATTTTGAGTCAAAGCTTACAAGTAAATTCGAGGCTCTCTTAGCCTTTAAGAACCGTCATGTCACCCGCCCCAGCGGATTTTGTGTTGCATGCCATTTCTGTTCTGTCGGAATTGCCTGTTGACTAGGGTCTGAGATTTGGAGAACCAGAGCTTATTTTAGGTGATAAAACACATGCAAACACATTCTTCTGTAAGATTTGTGTACAGGAAAGAAAACAGGGGTATGTGTATGTGTGTGTATATATATATAACTTTAAAAAAAATAACTTCTAAATATTTTTCTAAAAAGAACTTGAGATTACTGAAAAGTCATTGGGGTTTGCTATGCTTTTACATGAAATTATTACAACTGAAACAGCATTTCAATTGAAAAAATGTATACGAAACTTCTGCAAAACTGTACCATCATTTCTGATAAAAGTGCAATGCATTCTAAATATTTTTCTAAAAAGAAATTGAGATTACTAAAAAGAAGTCACTGGGGTTTGCTATGCTTTTACATGAAATTTTTACAACTGAAACAGCATTTCAATTGAAAAAGTGTATACGAAACTTCTGTAAAGCTGTACCATCATTTCTGATAAAAGTGCAATGCTTGAAACTCATTTTAAATGTTTGTTTAGCCGTTAGCATCACTTGCTATTTTAAAGTCAGGGTTTTTTCTTTTCCTAATTTTTCTGCACTGAGGACTGCATAGTGGGAACTCACAGTTTGCCCTTGCACTGGAAAAACCTTACTGTTTCCTTTTTGCAAGCATTCGACTTCTTGAAAGAACATTATTTTCTTTATTTTATTTATATGCCTGCATTCTCATTCTGTCAGAGAGCACGGCTTTCTGTATGTGCCGCTTTTTAAATAAAATTTTATTTGGGTTCTGGCTAGTTCTTGAGACTTCCTCATCTATTTGGTTATTATAACTCCTAGGTGAGTAACCTAAAATGAAGGGGGTGAAGGTGAAGCAATAGTCTGGATTTAGTAGCTTCTTTTATTGAAATGCATATCTGAAAGCACTCGTTTACAGCTGCTGTGGTCTTTTTGGCTTCTTAATAACTGTTTCTCTGCAAATGTGACATAACTAGTGACCGGATTTGACATTTTGCTACGTGCTGTGGCAGGATTTTCAGTGCCTTTGGAGCGAGAGCTGTATGCCACGGTCAGCTGGTACGGAACGTGTCTCCGCATGTGGAGTATTTAGGATGGCACTGTTAAAGCTTTTGTTTTCACTGCCTGCCTTCTGAAGTTTTCAGTAATAAATCGTTAGGTTTCCTTGCTGTTCATTGTCTTAATTATTCTGGATGACTTTTTCATGTTCCTGTGGTCCTTAAGTACTCCCACAGCTGCTGAGGATTTCTGCCAGGAGGAGGGACATGCGATTAGTCTCCAGAGCATCCTCCTAAAGCAAGTGCCATCTAGAAATGCTCTTACAGTTGATTTAAAAACAGAAGTTTACATCACAGTAGCTGGAAGTCTGAGGTACTGGCAAGCTTGTTGCCCTCTTCTGTTGAGACTGAACACTTGCATCACCTGCCAGTTCTGTTGGAAACTGTGCTCTTGAATTCTCAAACATTTGCACGGACATAGCCCCGTGCCTGGGGAGAGAGTCTTCTGAATGAGACTGCTTGCCTGATCTGTATCTAAAAGCTGAAAGAAGGAATGCAAAAATTACTTTTCCTCGGGTTTTATATAAGAACTGGCCATACTAGTGGTGGGATTTTAGTGTTAACTTAGTAGAGATTTTTTTCCTTACTATAAATTACACTCACCTTATCCTGCAGTTCTCAGGATGGCTAAAGCAGCAGTATAATGGATTAACCTGTTCTACGTTAACCGCACACCATTCTAAGAAGAATAAATCGATGGGGTTTTAAATTCTTTTCAATGCTGTGTAGCTGTCTAGCTTCCATTTACCCATCTACGCTATAAACCTGTTAAAACCTTGTATTTGTGCACCTTGCTCATTGCCTGCTGCTCTCATGTTCTGTGCGCACATGCTGCTGACAGTCCCAACTGATGAAAACTGCTACCATGGAAGAAAGCAAAATCCTAAATTTGCTGTGACACGGAAATGACTTGTGTCTATAGGAACTCTAAAATAATACCAGTCAGCAACAGAAACGAAGTACTTTTTTTTAAGAGGGTTAATTACCTGAGAAGTATTTCTTGTTGCTGACCATGGGTGTCAGCACCTGTTCAGTCCCACAGCAGGTGACAGTGGCTATCGCTTGGTTGGTTGGGGAAAAACTGTGTAATTTCCTACACTGTTGCTGATCTGTCTGTTGTGGCCTAGGCTTGCAGTGAAACTGCGCAGTCTAGGATATTTTCAATAAATGTCATATAAGGGGAACCTAAGCACCCACTGTCTAGTAGCCACGGCCTGTCAGAGCCGCGTGGCGCTGGCAGTGCCAAGGGAGATCGGCGTCCCGGGGAGGGCCACGTGCGGAGAAGCGCTCACAAAGGGAGCTTGTGTGAAAGCACCAGTCGTTCCAGACTCCTTCCGTTTCTCCAGGTGAAGGTTGTTTTGCTTGCACAGAACCTGTTCCTTTCTTAACTAATTCAAAAGCTTTGCTTTAGATGTTGCCGTTGAATTGATTCTGAAGGTGAGGTTACATGTAACTGCTAAGCTGAACTAATTGCTGGGATGAACAGACCCAGTCCTGTGTCCGCCTGCTTTTGTCTTCCCGCCTGTGCTCTCCTACTTCCTCCCTTGCACTCCACGTTGGTTGGTTGAGCCAAGTCAGCA